TTATTATTATTATTAATATTTTATTATTATTATTATTATTATTATTATTATTATTATTATTATTATTATTATTATTATTATTATTATTATTATTATTACTATTCCGCCAGGAGATATATATTTCGTTTCGAGATGTGTGTGTGTGTGTGTGTGTAAAATGCTTTGCTGTTTCAGTTTATTTTTTCTTGTGTTCGAATTATCTCAAAAACGGCTGACAGACATAATTGAAAATAACAGGGAGTGCCGGTATAACGCAACGAAGAAATACAAGATACAAGGAAGAAATTGTCAAGTGTAGGTCTCGATCCAAATTCGGGGACGAGTGGGTCATTTAAATTGTTACGATCGTGCGTGTCTTGTGTTCAAAATATCTCAAACACAGCTGAACAGATTTATCTGCCAGTTACAGGGATTGTTAGATATGACCCAGCGATGAAGTGATTAAATGTTGGTGACCGTCCGGCGTAGGCTGTGCATATGAGGACAATTTAAAGGAAAACGTCTCCGACCCCCCGCCAGATATTTCAAAAACTAATCAACTGAAATTAATGAAACTTTCATGAAAGCTTAACCAAGGTACAAGGAAGAAATTATGGAGTGCTGGTGACGATCCAAATTCGGGTGTGCATTTCAGGGCTAAAAAGTCTCAGACCTAAATATTTTGAAAATGGATCAATGGATAAAAATGACAATTGGCAGAACAGTTTGTCACGTTTTGATACAGAAGCTGTGTCAATTTTGGTCGTGATCAGAAGTAGGGTGTGGATATGGGGACCAATTAAAGAATTAGTTTACCGTATTACCGTAGGCAGAAACAATATCTATATGATGAATATTTAAATTAGTGCAGTTACAGTAAATGTGTACAGCGTTTTATATGTACTAACTTCACTTCTTTTTTAAACGTGCCAGTATGTTAAGCCAGAAGGTGTAATGAATTGGCAGGTGTACAACTAATAAAAGGTGTTCGAAAAAGGAAGTGATTATATGTTGGTGTCGATGTCGATATTTAAACCATTTCAAAGCAAAACGTCGTAAATCAAATATGGTATCTAAAAAAATAATCAACTCATCTACATGAAACTTTCGTGTTAGTGTAATTTTTTTCAAAGTAGATTGTTTTTAGTGGTTGGAAAGCAGCAACAGATTTTTTAGGAATTTATAGTAATTATGGTTGTCACTAAAATAATGAAATGAAATTTTATAAAAATATAGTGATATGATATAATTTATGTTAACAAAGGCCTATATTATATGATCTTGTGATTATTTATTATGAAGTGATGACATTAATAAGAATAATAAAAAAGGTATATTATGTGAAATATCATTTTAGGACGGAATTTGATCATACATTATTGTATTGATAAACTTTAAATGTCATACAAGGAAAATATATATATATATGTGATAACGAAATTTTTATAATCTGCTATACGATAGGATGTACAGCGGTTCACACAAGGATAGAGATCTTTAAAAGTTGTTGCTGTGGCTGTTAATAATTTTACTAAGTTTATTATTATTATTATTATTATTATTATTATTATTATTATTATTATTATTATTATTATTATTATTATTATTATTGTTATTATCATCATCAACACTACTATATTGTATTATCACTGTTATCATCATTATTATCATTATTATACTATTATTACTATTATTAATTTTATTATTATTACTATAATTCCTATGAGTATTTTATCATTTTATATAATTCTATTATTATTATCATTAGTGTTTATCAGCACTGATGTTTTTTTATTATTATTATTACTGTTACGATTGATGTTATTGTTGTTACCATTTAGTATTATTAATTATGATGATTATTACTTACATACAATTGATTTAAATTTTCTTATTATATTATTATTATTACTATTGTTATTATTATTATTGTTATTATCATCATCATCAACACTACTATATTGTTATCGTTAGTATTATCACTGTTATCATCATTATTATCATTATTATACTATTATTACTATAATTACTTTTATTATTATTACTATAATTCCTATGAGTATTTTATCATTTTATATAATTCTATATTATTATCATTAGTGTTTATCAGCACTGATGTTTTTTTATTATTATTATTATTACTGTTACGATTGATGTTATTGTTGTTACCATTTAGTATTATTAATTATGATGATTATTACTTTTTTATCTCGTTTTGACCGTTTTGTTTTATGTTAACCATACTGTAAGTGGCGGATTTGTGTCTGCTGTTGTTTTAGTAAATAAATAAATTATTAATAAATATCAATATTTTAACTGTGACATGAAAAATTGGTGGAAAACAGAGGCAGCATAGGATAACCCAATCATTTAGAGTAATAATGTGTGTGACTACTACAAAATGAATATATTGCTATCTCACATAATCATATATTAATTTGAGTAAGGATCGAACGATTTACCGCTCAGACGCGTGCACTGATCTTGAAGAAATATATCATATCAGCTTTCATTTAGGTGTTTTACCATTGATGGCATTTTTATGTTCCTATTTTATGTGAATTAATATATTATTAATAGGACAAGGGCTTTTATTTAGGTGCCTTACTATTAAGGGCATTTTTAAGTTCCTATTTATGTAAATTAAAATATTGTTAATCGGACGAGGACTCGTCACGCTACAAAAGCAACACGTCGTGCGAGAATTCATTATTCAAATTATGTTAGTACAGTTACAGAGGAAGGTAGCAGAGTAATTATATTGGTGTATTCTATGGCGAGCCGATTTTTAATTTAATCGTAAATAGAGATATCTTAGTTTTAATAAAGACATCTTAGTTTTAGATAGATATATCTTGGTTTTAAAT